AGAATAGTTTCTGTCTGAATGCTAGGAGAAATGCATTCAGTTTGACAGTGGAACCCCTTTGCTAGGTTCATAATAAAATAGAAAAGGGCACAAGCCAGCAATCATGTCATACTGAATTTGGGGACTCTTGAAGTTTTGGGCCAACCACGATTGGGATTCTCTTCAAGATGACGGTTATTAGTATTATTATATTTATTATGATATTTATATTACTGTATTTATATTAATGTTTAACAGTTTATTATGTTATTATTTTAATTGTTTTTAACTGTTTTTATGATGTTGAGCATTGAATTTTGCTATTGTTAACTGCTTTGAGTCGCCCAAGGGCTGAGAAAAGCGGTATATAAATGAAGTAAATAAATAAATAAATTTATATTTATGTACTATATATAGGCAGCAAAGAAATATCATTGGGTAAGACACCACATTTCAAGAGTGTCACTTCGTAATTGCAATTATAGTCTCCTTATTAATTTATACCACACCTTTCCCCCAAAATTGGGACTCAGGGTGACTTAACAAATTAAAGCGATGCAATTAATTTAATATTTCCAATATTAAAAATGATAAAAAGTGGTCAAAAACAGTATACGTCAAAAGGAAATCCACAGAAAACCACCAACCAAAAGATTCGAGGAAGTTGAACTCCTCAAGACAAGAAAATACATAAGAAACCAACAACAGAACATCTAGACCAAGAAGAGGGAACGGAAGAACCCAGTGAAGAAGCCAACCAGGTTACCCACACACTAGAACCTTTGCAATGAGGACTCTAAAAATACTATCACTGAATGCCAGTGGTCTTAACTCACCAAAGAAAGGGGGGGAATCAACATCTAAGATCATCAGAGGCAAATGTTATAGATATTCAGGAAACCCACATCTAAAAAGCAAATATAAATCTGATTACATTAAAAATTAGACCAAGTCCACATTACAATGGACAATATTAAGAAAAGAGATGTAGATACATATATAAAAGAAAATCTACTACCTGCTGAAATAAAAGCAGATCAAAAACGGCGCTTTCAGTTGAGCACAGTTGATCTAGACAACAACAAAAAATATTATTAGCCAGTATATGTGCTCCAAACAATGGATAACCTTCTTTACCAAATTGCATAAAGAAATAGAAAATACAGACTATGATGAACTGATTATAGTAGGAAGCTTCAACAGGGTAGTGGAACAAAACATAGACAGAAAATATGCAAATTAACAGATGATCTAGAGCTTATAGACGTATGGCGATTTTAGCATGGACCTGAAAAAGAGTTTACATTCCGATTAGACAGACGCAATTCGCTGTCAAGAACTGACATGATCTGGGCTACAAAAAGCCTTCCTACACAGTTATTAAGTGCTGATATTCATCCAAGGTTGGTGTCAGACTGTACTTGAATATAATAAACAACCAAAAGACAAAAAGGCTAGCTGGAAAACTAAAACTATTAAGAAGCATCGACAATTCTGGTGGAACAAATGGACAAATATTGAAATTTAGTAAGCAGATTTTTTTTCAACATGTAAATAAACCAGGCATATGGTTATCAAATAAATTAAAAACACAACATTAAAATAAATATATAATTTCATTGAAACGTGAAGATAAAGAAATTAAAGAAGAACAAAAGATCAAACAACATCTAAAAGACTTTTATGAGGATCTATACAAAAATGAAGGAGGTTCAACAGAAGTAGTAGTAGAATACATAAAAATTTAAAAGCTTCCAACCCTCCCTGAAGAAGACCAGGAACGTTTGAATTGATCAATAACAGTACAGGAAATCGATGAGGCAATTCAGAATTTAAAGACAGATAAATCCTCAGGCCCAGATGGCTATATGGCAATATACTACAAGATGATGAAAGATAAAATAACAGGCAGTAACAAGCCACACTTAAAAACTCTCAGGCCATCAAATGCTAATCAAGGTTTCCAATTTAAACATTCACACCTACCTCCAACAGACAAGAGTTCTTTCTCCCACCCTGGACTTTCCACAGATAAATTGTATGTCCAGGAGAAGGGTTGGAGGGTGGGAGTGGGGTAAACAATAAAATAATCATTCACACACACACACACACACACACACACACACACACACATATATATATATACACACACACCATTATAAAATCTAAATTTTCATCGCATTAACTTTCTTCTGAAGAAAGACATGAGGAAGAATCCTTTGGAGCTATTTGTTGTGACTTTCTTTTCCATAGTATATGTATTATGGCAGAACTCTTGAGATGTGAACGTTAAGCTTTTGTTCAGAAAAGGTGTTATGCATGGTTGTCAACGAAAGGAAGGGAAAGGAAAGAAAAGAAGAAGAGGGAAAGGAAAAAAAATTAAGAAAAAAATATTTGCCATTCATTTTCTGGTCCCAATTCAAGGTACAGGTTCTTACCTATAAAGCCCTAAACGGTTTGGGACACACCTACCTTCGTGACCGTATCTCTCTCCAACCAGCCCGAGCTCTTCGATCTTTGGGGGAGGCCCTCCTTTCGCCCCTGCCAGTTTCAAATAATCTGCTCATTTTATTGTACATGTGGCCCACTCACTGTTATTGTGATTGTTCATTGCATTCTTATGTTTTGTGTTCATTGCTTATTGTATTCATCATGTTTTTGTATTTTACTGTGTTGTTGCTTGCGTTCTGGTTTTTATTTTATTGTATTTTACTGTATTGTAATTTGCTGCTTGGGCTTGGCCTCGTGTAAGCCACCCCGAGTCCCTGTTGGGGGAGATGGTGGCAGGGTATAAATAAAGTTTATTATTATTATATTATTAAATTCACAATGCTATTTGGACAAGCTGGAATGTTACAAAATTAGAAGTAAGTGATTCCTGAAAAGGTTAAACATGATGGAATAATGTTAACGAAACATTTGATTATGATTTTAAACATTGCTCCATTTATGCAATTTTTTTAGTTATCCATACTTGTGTACCTAAAACAGTCAGAGAGCTCAAATCACAAGGAAGTGCTTTAATGCCTATTCCTGTCCTTATGAGATATTCTTTATTAATGTGAAATCATGATGCGTGTAGACATATTTTGAAATTCTTTTGATTGTGAAGATATATTCCCTGCTTTGCAAGGAGTTTCTTTAAAATTTCTACATTAGGATTTTTGCATATGATATGGAGGGGATGGGAAGTAGCTGGTGGTACTATGGCTATTAGCCAGATTGAAACAGTTTTTGCTAAAAAAAATAATAACCAATAATTCTAGTTAAGAATTATTTTGCTTTTAAAATGTCTTGAATTCTAGTGAATGGTAAAGTATGTTAAACTTATTTTGCACAAGTTGCCATTTGAATATAGATCTAGGCAAGTTTCACTAAAAGAAATCCATTATGAGTCAAACACTGTAGCATTGTCTTAAAAGACCTTCAAAACCTTCAGTTCAAAAAGTCTGTTGATTTTTTTTTTAAAGACTCATAGTCTGATGGTGGAAGGACAGCGAGGAAGGGGTTGTTCTAGCTGGAAACACAGCTAAACTATACTTGTTGCTGCCTGTTTTTCTGAAGCTGCAGTTAGGGCTTCCAACCTGTCCGGCGTGTCTGAGGCTCTCAGAGCTGATGTGCCTCCCTACGGGCTCCAAAAGGAGCAGTCGTTGTAGACCCTGCTCTGTCTAACTTTACCAGAAAGATGAACATGTTGTTGATTTTGTGCTTTGTAGTTCTAATTCTTGGGCTTGGTTCTGGCTACTCTTCCTGGTGAGGGTTGGCCCTCCCATTAGGCAAAGGGAGACAGCTTCTGCAAGTGGCAGATGTTGAGTCTTGTGAAGGGAGCAGCAATAGCCATTTTCTTCTTTTGGGAGACACAATTTTGTTAATAATAATAAATAATAAACCTTTATTTGTATACCGCTCCATCTCCCCAAGGGGACTCAGGGCGATTTCCAGCATGGTAAAGCATTGCAATTACCGACATAAAACATGCAAAAAGTCATTATAAAAAGTATAAACATAGTATTTATATAACAATTGTACATACTTAAATTTAAAAATCCAGTTCAGTACTAATTACATTGGGCAGTGCAGCTTCCAATGGCCAAGATTTCAAAGTGGGCCTCGACAACTATGAGAGGGCTAGGCTACTACAACGAAGTAGACTAGGGAGTGGGGAGTGAGTAAAGTGCAAGCATGGCCTACCTGATGGTCAGGGTGGGACCTGGAGCTATTTATTTCCAAGATCTGCTGCATGAAAACAAGAGGACTGGGCCAACGGGGAAAACTTAGGCCCAGGGAAGTGGGTAAAGTGCATGGCAAGGGCCTAACTAATGGCCAGGGTGGTGCCTGGGGCTCTTCATTTCCAGGGCCTGCTGAATAGCTGTAATAGGGCTAGACCAGGGCTAGTAGCAAAGGGCCGGGGAAGTGTATAGAGTACAGAGTGGGGACCTAAGTAATAGCCAGGGTAGGGCCTGGGGTTAATCATGTTCAAAAGCTTGCTGGAACGACCAGGTTTTCAGGTTCTTGCGGAAGGAGGCAGGTGACGGGGCTTCTCTTACCTCTCTGGGAAGGGCATTCCAGAGGTGGGGGGCCACCACCGAGAAGGCCCTCTCCCTTGCCCCCACCAACCACACTTGAGACAGTGGTGGGAACGAGAGAAGAGCCTCCCCAGTAGATCTACGAGTCTACTGTAGGGGGAGATGCTATTGCGGAGATAGGTGCGGCCCGAAACGTTTATCTCTCTGTTTTATCTCTCTGTTTTAACCATGTTGTACTCTGCCTCGAGACACAAGAGGCGGGTAATAAATTACTATTGCGACTGTTGTTGTTTTTACTATCAGCACCTGTATTCCACCTAGCACGATATCTTCTGGGACAGCGGAGAGTGTTGACTCATCTCCTATACCAAAATAAAAAGTAAACGCCACTCTGGTTGGCCTACATAGGTCGACTGGCATTGGGGAGTACTACCTTGATCTCATGGAGACCAGTGGCTTGACCTTGGTTGTTCATTTTGGTAACGTGTCTTCCAGATCCTTCTCTACAGTTTGGAGACTGGACAATGTGTGACGCAGCTTGGAAGCTCCTTGGGCGACTTCACATGTGTCAACCTCCGGGACAGCCCCCCGTTCATGGTGGTTGCAGGAAATAAAGACCGAAGGTACGTCTTAGCTGGAGGAACCCTCATGCGATGCGGACTCTTACGCTCTTGCACAGAACCACACTGGATACTTTGAGCAGACTCTGTGCAGGCATTGAGTTCCCAAGAATTGTGTGATGGTTGGAAAGCGACCCCCACATTTATTTTTATACACTCAATGGAAGTATTTCCTCGTTTCTTTTTCTTTTCAAAAGACATTTGGTGGAAACAGTTGGTGTGCGGCCTCTTGGAATCCCATTCTCTTTCCCACCAACACTCACCAAATGAGTCTGGCACTTCACACCTCACTTCCAGTGATTTGAAGGAGAAAAATAACCTCATGGAGAAATGACCCGGGCCAAAAAAGCTCCTTCCTTCTCCCCCCGCCCCTAAGCAGTAACAAGAACGTACATAGGGATACTACGGTGTCCCTCAGGTGACCAAAAGAGAGGATTTATTTGTGAACAGGCTCCAAATTCCATTTAGTTGATTAGCAGCATTCTCTTTCTCTTCCCGGCTTAGGCAGCCCATATATTGTTTTCCCTCCTCTGCTCCGTGTCTGTTGGCAGACATGGAAGCGCTTGGAGTCATCAGCATGAAAGGATTACAGTGCTTTTTAAAAACAACCCTTCGAGTCCAATTTTTGAGTCCCCCCTCCCCTTGGGAGTGGGGAGAGTGTTAATTATGGAGATGGCATTGCTCCAAAGGGATGTTGTACCGTGGCAGACATCCAGTGACTAATAGCGCCCTGTTTCCTCCCTCCTCGTCTTCCTGCTCCCACCCCAAGCAACGGGGCATCCAACTGCAGGTGCCCGTTTGCTTGGGCAGTTGGGTGTCTGGTTGCGAAGCCTGTGGATTTCACTCTGGAGCTCCCATCTTGAAGCCGCGAGAGCTGCTGCTTCCAAATATATAATGCGTTTTGTTCCTTGTTCAAGGAAGATGCCACCTGACAGGCCCGTAGCCAGGATTTCGTTTCGGGGGGGGGGGGGGGGAGTTTTTTTCAAGGGGGGGTTCAGGGGGGGCTGAGTTTCGGGGGGGGGCTGAGTCTGAGTGAAAGAGGGTCTACCCTAGCAAACCTTTTGTATCATTACCCCAATACCCCCATGCATATGGGATATATTGAGTATGGTGATCAGATCATGATATGAATAAACATAACAGTTTAAATAATGCACCAGTAAGGCCTTTTCACGAACCACCATGAGAATTTCGGGGGGGGGGGGCTGAAGCCCCTCAAGCCCCCCCCCCCCCCCCGGCTACATGCCTGCCACCTGAGTACAATGCATAGGTGGTTGTCTGGCAGCCACCAAGTATTTCTATTTCTCCCTGAGAATTTCACTCCTCCCTTCAGTTTGCAAAAAGCACACAAGTCTTTTCTGCTTCGCCTCCCTTCATACGGAGTCGTGCATCAGGACAACATGAAGCCGCATCAGGACAACATGAAGCCGTATAGCAGGAGGGCTTTTGTTACCTTAATCACCACTGCAATGCTTGAACCTCCCCAAGGGGTTCCAGATGAATTTCTTTGAATGTATTCTCAAAATAGCTGGTGGGTTGCAGCACATTTCTTTTTTCCTCGGAGAATAATACAGTGGAGCTATTCCAATGTCCCCACTTGAGCTTGCTGAGAAAGGCAGGAGAAATGGAGACTCTTAATGGGTTAGTTTGGGACTGGCCTACCTTCATGATCGCATTTCCCCCTACGAACCTGCGCAATCCCTTCAATCTTTGAGGGAGACCCTCCTCTCGCTCCCGCCTCCCGTCACAAGCGTGGCTTGTGGGGACGAGGGAGAGGGCCTTCTCCGTGGTGGCCCCTTGGCTCTGGAACTCGCTCCTCAGGGAGATTAGGCAAGCATCCACCCTGGCAATTTTTAGGAAAAGTTTAAAAACTTGCCTTTTCCAGTGTGCTTTTGAAGAATGAATTATTAATTCCCATGTCAGGTCCTGTCTCAGTGTCAATTGGTTTTCTGATGTACTTTATCCCATCCCTCAGTTGAGAATAACCTAATTGTTTGTCCCACCCAAGTCTCTCTCTAAATACAGCACTTTATTTATCTACTTCACCCTCGTCTAAATTCTTATATTATTTTTTATACTCTGTTGTATTATGTTATTGTTACTATCTTATTGTTTTATTATGTTATTGTATAAGCATTTTTGCTTAATGTTGTCATGTGTCTTGTATGTATTTTATTTTGCTTTATTGTAATTGTTTGGGCTTGGCCCCATGTTAGCCGCCCGGATTCCCCTTGGGGAGATGGAGGCGGGGTACAAATAAAGTTGTTGATGTTGTTATTATTATTATTATTATTATTATTATTATTATTATTATTATTATTCCCAACAACGGAATGGCAGAATGATGAATCAATGGATAGGTAAATAAATCAATTTATTTATCGTGTCAGGGGCAGACCAAACAGTTGCATTGCATTGTTTAACAAACAAACAGACAGACAAACAAAACACAAAGTTTGCAAGCTTGGTAGTTAATTAAATGCCCTTTGACCAGTAGCTGGCCACTTGGAGTGCCTCTGGTGTTGCTGCAAGAAGGTCCTCCATTGTGCATGTGGCAGGGCTTAGGTTGCATTGCAGCAGGTGGTCTGTGGTTTGCTCTTCTCCACACTCGCATGTCGTGGATTCCACTTTTGTAGCCCCATTTCTTAAGGTTGGCTCTGCATCTCGTGGTGCCAGAGCGCAGTCTGTTCAGCGCCTTCCAAGTCACCAAGTTTTCTGTGTGCCCAGGGGGGAGTCTCTCATTTGGTATCAGCCATTGATTGAGGTTCTGGGTTTGAGCCTGCCACTTTTGGACTCTCGCTTGTGTCTCTGTAGATCTTAGAAAACTATTTCTTGATTTAAGTCGTTGACGTGCTGGCTGATATCCAAACGGGATGAGCTGGAGATGTCACTGCCGTGGTCCTTTCACTGTTGGCTATTAATTCCCAGCGGATGTCAGGTGCAGTGTCATTTCTCCAGTGGTGTAGGGTGCAGACACCCTGTGATGATGCGGCATGTTTCGTTAAGAGCCACATCTACTGTTTTAGCATGGTGAGATGTGCTCTACACTGGGCATGCGTACTCAGCAGCAGAGTAGCATAGCGCAAGGGCAGATGTATTCACAGTGTCTGGTTGTGATCCCCAGGTTGTGCCAGTCAGCTTTCGTATGATACTGTTTCTACTGCCCACTTTTTGCTTGATATTCAGGCAATGCTGCTTGTAAGTCAGAGCACGGTCCAGAGTGACTCCCAGGAATTTGGGTGCGCTGCAATGCTCCAGTGGGATTCCTTCCCAGGTAATCCTCAGAGCTCGGGATGCTTCTCTGTTCTTAAGATGAAAAGCACATATGTCTTTGTGTTTTGGATGGATTAGGGATCAGCTGGTTTTCCCTGTAACAGGCAGGAAGAGCACCTAGAGCAGTGGTTCTCAACCTGGGGTCCCCAGATGTTTTTGGCCTACAACTCCCAGAAATCCCAGCCAGTTGACCAGCTGTTAGGATTTCTGGGAGTTGAAGGCCAAAAACATCTGAGGACCCCAGGTTGAGAATCACTGACCTAGAGCTTTGGAGAGTTTCTATTCAACCATCTCAAAGCTCCCTGCTTCAGCGGTGATGGCACGATCATCTGCATAGATGGAACTCTCTGTCCCTTCTGGCAGTGGCTGGTCATTTGTGTAAATGTTGAACATTGATGGAGCAAGCACGCTCCCCTGAGGCAGGCTGTTCTTCTGTTTCCGCCATCTGCTTCTCTGGCCCTGGATAGGTGAAACCTACTGATTTCACAGGGCTGCTGTAGTTGAAACTGGTTCAGGTCTAAGGTGTTCAGAAACAGAGGAATGGAAGCTGGGCCCTTCTGTATACTAGGCATGAACCCTGCCTTTTTTAGCTGTTGGTTTTCTGTTGAAACCATTGTACATATGAACCTTCCTTGTACTAGATTACATTATTTGTCTGTCTCAACCAGTGATGTCCATAATGATTGGCATCAACCCTGCAGGATCTCAGGGAAAGAGAAGTCTTCCCATCATTGGCTACCAGCCTGGAGATGGAAGGGATAAAACATGGGATCTTCTACCTGCAAAGCAAAATCATGGCTGCTGAGCTGTAGTCTTTCCTCAAAAGTAGGGTGATTGGTTATTGAAACATTCATTCTTCTACCTGTGTTGGATTGGCTTGAAATGAATTTCTTGTGGTCTAATGAGAATGCAGAATGTGACACACAGTCACCAAGGTATTGTACAATCTCATGAAAAGCCTAATCTCTTGTACAGCAGAGGCTCTGTGTAGCTTCTCTCACTCTATCTTCATAGTCCTAAAGCTGAGAAATGTGCTTTCCTTGAGAACTCTACTTGAGCTTCCTCTCTCTTAAGACACTCTGGAAGTATTAGTTTTTGACTCCCAAGTTCCAGAATCCCCCCAACCACTATCATGACCTAATTTACAGCAGCCACGTATTTAAGGCTGACCTGGGAAACATTTATGGGGTTGGGAACTACAACTCTCAGAGCTTTTTTTGATCAGAATGGCTATGGTCTATTCTGGCCGAGAGATTCTGGGATATATAGTCAACATGAACTTTTAAAAACTCTGGCTTGGAGAAAGTACATGGCTGTCCATCACTGCTTCTCCCTCCAATGACTGTCTGACCAGCCTGAGACAACCCAGTGAATTTCATTGGGGATTGGAGATTTGAACCTAGGTCCTTACATACTTAATCCAGCATTCTGATGGAGGAACATTTGTTTTTCCAGACCTTTGAAACCACAGGTACCACAATACCTTGCACTGGGCTGGGGCTTTGGGAGAATCTGAATTCCAAAACACTTGGAGGGCCAAAGGGTCCCCATCCTTCTGATAAAGTATGAGAAGTTCACAGAACCCTCAGTTGGACGTTTGCAAGAAGTGATCCCAAGCAGCGTGGAACAACTGCCACATTTTCAGTCACTGGCACCTGGGACGTAGAGCTTGCAAGACTTTTCCCTAACAATTTGAAAGTGTCTGTTGTTTTCTCTGGGCATGGAGGCCT